AAAAAAAAAAAAAAAAAAACGATTAATTTATTTATGCTGAAAGATATCAGCTTTCTATCTCGGACCTATATATTCTACGTATTAATATATAAATATATATAGAGAAAAAGATGAGTCAGAAATTTTAGAAAATTTTAAATTATGAGATCTAATTTCTCCAACCTAATTTTTCTCTTTCAATTATCTCTTTTAGATGAAATAATATAGATATTCAAAGAAATAGAAATACTTATCGTCTCGAGAAAGATTATATTCTTATAGTCCAAGCTCTCCAAATCAGAATTATTCCTTCATTCATCTCTTTTAGAAAAGGTAATATTCGGCAAATCAGAGCTCGTATGATAAATAGATTTATCTCGTATCAACTTATTCCGTCGACCGGCCACGCAAATAACTAAAATAGAAATAAATCATGCGGAAAGCCATTCTTAAGAAGAAAAATTACGCGCGATAAAAAACCCAAAATCTCCGAGGTTTTCAGTCGCGCCGAATTCTTACATTTCCAAGAGTTGAGAAATCTAGAATCATTTTAGAACTGAGCCAGAAAGGCTAGGTCGCGCGACCACGCCGTAAAATTGAGATATTTATCATAGAAATAGAATTTTTCATTCAATAAATATTCTTTCATTATTTAATCATATATCAATAATAAATACGATCACAGGAAAATTGAAAATCGCACGTGAAGCCCGATGATCAATTACCATAAAAGATCATACATAATAAAGACAACCAACCCATAGATTCAGAAAAGTTATTTGGATCTCCGCTCCGGGTGTAAACATTCCCCAAGCCGCCGCACAAACAGTCAAAGAAAAGAGAGAAACGGATCGAAAATCTCGCGAGATTTTTGGTCGCACGGCCCCCCGCATCCGGCCCGATCTTTCCGCCTGACTTATCTCTCTTGGGCTATCTGCGCGGCGACTCGGGGGAGCGCAAAAATTCTCGTGGACAGACACGGCCAGCTTGTAAATTCTGAAAGATGTTGCTTCTCCGTCTCGTGTATGCGTTCTGAAGAGCAGCCGCGCAGATTGTAAAAGAGAGATAAATCACGCGGAAAACCGCTCCGGAGGCAAGGGCCGCGCGACCAAAAATCTTCGAGATTTTTGGTCGCGCCGTCGTACCAAAAATCTCGGAGATTTTAGAGCCTCTAGCTTTTCCGAGGGGCTCGAAAATCTGCGAGATTTTAGAGCCCCTAGGGAGCTCGCAAGAGGCTTTTTGGAGGTGCGCGCAGTTGCACGCCTTGCTGTCTGAGGATGTGCGCTGCGCATTGATGGCCTCAGCACTATGCTTGAGGAAGCACCGAAAATCCACATGAAGCAGAGTTAGAATGAGGATTGCGTGGAGGCTTGCAGCCTTGGAACCGGCTTCCACGCAGGTTGGCAACAACAATTCCATGGCATCCTGCGCGAAAAGCACTGCAGGCACAAACGGGCGAGGCACACAACAGGTAAGGGTAAGGCAGCCTGAGGCTTAAGCCAGTCCTCACCCCAAGCCGGCTCGTTGATGACAGCTGCCAGGAAACCTCCAGCGAACGCATCGCCAGCTCCATTTGTATCAACGATCTCTTCGTTTGCAATCCTGAGTTTCACATATCATCTGTTTAAACATTCGGGATTTCGGCTGTGCTGTAGGAGCGTAACCAAGAATGCAGCTCTAATGTGGCAATAGGACCTTTAACCGGATCACGACACCACACAAAGCTTGTTGCACGCTCTGATTCGGATGCACTGGGAATAGTTGGACTTCAAAACCCGTCCGTGCAATCATCGTTGGGTTGGCACCTGCGGTCACCACAGCCATTCCACCAGGTCTCAGCATGCAGGCAAGCTTGTCTGCCATCTCTTTGTCGGATCCATTCCAGCCACGTAGCTGTGCCCAAGCTCGAAGCTCCTGCAAATTGCCAAATACGAAGTGAGCTTTGGGCAGCAACTGCTGCAGCATGCCCTGAACCTTCTCCACTATCCCTGCTGACGACAGGTTCACTGCCAGTCGAGCACCAGACATCATGGCAAGTTCCACGGTCGCCTCTATGGCAGCTATCCGGGGCTGCGTGGTTAAAACGAACGATGTAACGTAAAGGAGAGATGCCTCCTGAATCAGTGCTTTAACGCCAGGCTGATGTATCCAGCTTGGGTCAAGGTGCCCCGAGGCACCCCGAACCGCTGCAAGTGTGCGATCCCTAGTGATGATGTCGACCAAGCAGCCACAAATTCCTGTTTGGCTCGTGACCTTTTGAAGCAGTGGTACTACATCAACATCATGCAACGCCTGCTCCAGAATCTTTCCATGCTCATCTCTTCCCACAGCGCCAATGAAGGATGCGCGGATGCGCTCACCGGCACTCCAAGCAGCAACTCGTACGGTATTCATTGCAGATCCACCAGCTACCACTTTGGCGCCGGGCTGATCTTTTGCAATGTCGACAAGAGTTTGTTTGACGGAGTCCGACATTCCAGCAGCTTCCATTCCTGCTGATAACCCGAAACTTGCAAGTCTTTGTGTTTCAAACGTGCAAATCACGTCCACCGTCGCATTTCCACAGGCAACCAGGAGGGGGCGCGAATGTCCAAACAAGCTCGTCCAAAGTTCTGAATCCTGGAAGTCCTCCAGTGACTTGAGGCGTAAATCTGCAGATGCGAGCACTTGCTCTCCCTCAACATCACCCTCCATCCAAGCCTCCGGAACCGCCACGGTGAAGCATCCTGCTGCCTTCGCAGCTTTCACTCCGGCAGGTGCATCTTCAATCACCAAACACTGGTCCGGCATGATATCCAAGATTTCGACGCATGCCTTGTATACCTTCACTGCCAGAAGTAAACACGGCGGAACACCCAGACAATGCAATTCCTGCCTGAGGGTCTGGCTTGCTCGGCAGCTTCTCGCCAGTGCGAGGGTCAAGTGAACCAACCACACGCACCTCATTTTCCATGCCAGTGGCAGACGATCACAATGAGGTTGACAAGAGAGAGCCACCTTCAGCGGTTCAAGTAGATCGACGAGGTCAGGCCGCTCTTGAAGCAAAGACTCCAATCCATCACCTCCGGTGACTTACGGGTCACTTTGGGACATTTCAGGGTCAGCGAGGCTACGGCTGTACAACGCACATGCCTCTGCGGCTGGTACACAGACCGAGGGGTATCCGCATAGACTGCAAACGTCGAATAAGTGCCGCGGCTCCCGGCTTGATCTCCATGCCTAAGAAAAACAAGCACTCGCTTTGACACTCCTTGGCTGGCCAAAGCCAAGAAGCGTGTGGCCAAGAACTTGCTGTACCTGGGTCGGGTCATGTTTTGGTTCAGCTAACAGCAAAGGGATTGCTCCAAACTCATCTGAAAACTGTCACTGTTATCTGACAACGGTAAGCAAAGCCAACCAGCTTGATACGACCTTCTCCGCGCTAAATGGGTCTTAATGCAGCCCAAAAACAACTTCAACACGACCCGAGGTCCATGCGAACAAAGAAGAACATTATACCCAGAACTAACCACTAAAAACACAGCGGAATGTGTAGCTCAGTGTTGGCAACAAAGAGGCCAGGATGTAGCTTTCTCTCCTGCCCTCCCCTCTCCCGCGACATGCTCCTACAACACATATGATTCCTTGTTTGGGACCACTCAAGAAGCACCTTTAGGTCTAGGACTAGCACATTCGCGCAATGCCATCCAAGCTGGTTCCACGCGTCCTGCCCTCTCCACATGCATCAACACCAAGCACATGAATCTAAAGCATCACACGCTGCGGGCCATTCTCCTTTACCTCCACCAGCTTGGCAAAGAAAATGTTGTTCAGTACTGGCAGGCTTCATACGTCTACTGGCGTTCGAGGCGGGTGCCTATTCCAGATTGGACCGCGGGAACCCAGCTAATTCAAAAATATGTGATTCACAGATTTGGCAAAGTCTTGGCTGAGAGCCCATGTGAGAGACTTGATTCGCTGCCTGCGAGGTGCTGCTCACAAGTTATTCTCGGAGGCAGGGCTGCCGTCAGCTCCTCTCTTCTGTCTGGAGGCACCTCCAATCACAGGATGCAATATCTCAGCCCCATAATCCGCATCAGGCTGCCTGGAGGAGATCCAAGCATTTGTGCGGGAAGAATCCCACAGTGCCTGTACCGTGAGCTGGCAAGCTGAAATAGATAGACAGAACACTCAGCTGCTCCATCCACCTGCAATCTGTTTGTGCAACTCAGAAGTCCAAACTAGTCCATGTGGTTGAAAGAGCAGCGCGATCCACGCACAGGTAGCCTGAGGATGAATCACTTCTCTTCAGGTCATGTGCAAGGACAGATGAACACTTAGTCAAGTCTCCATTTCCGTGTCCACAAGAGTCCCATCCAGGTCGAACACCACGGCCTGGAAACGTCGTTCGGCGAGGCTCCTTGCCAGCGTTGCAAGATTCACATGATGGGGGCATCATGATTTATGCCAAGCAGCCCAGGAGGTGCATCAGCACCACGCGTGTAAGCCATTGAATAGTGGACAAGCTTGACAGCTGCTAAAACTCAAGGAATGGCCGGTCGCAAGGAATGATCGGCAACAACAGTGTGTCAGGAGGCCAGACATAGTGCAACGCTCTCTCGCTGACAAGATTTGCATAGGCTGCCTTGTTATATGAAGCGCGATGTCAGGTTTCGAGCCGATACGAAAAGTGCCTCGAACAACTGGCTTGACATGCCTCCTGACTGACCAGACTTTTGCTGTGCATCGAGCTGACCATGCATCGGGTGCAACATTTATTTAGCGGGACGCGAGCAAGTGTTGCTGGCCAGAGGCCGGGCTAGTCAAACCATCAGCATAAGTTTCGAGGGGGGAGTGGGGGACGGGGAGTGGGCGGGGAGGGGGGGAGGGGCGGGGAAGGCTTGAGCAACCGCACAGGAATGAATGTACACTGACAGGTCCCCTCCAGCAGAAGTCACTGCTTTCCGGGACATGAGAACCTCTTGTGAACTGGAAACAAATTGAAGCTTGACACCCCGCCACGACAAATCTGTTACAGCACTGGGGAAAAACCAAGCCTGGAAATGTTTCAAGTTCTGCCTGTTGCCAGTGCTGAGCGCTCGTCACTCTGTGCTACCACTGTCTGTTCGGCACCAGAGAAGAGATCAGAGAAGTTGATGCTCAGCATGTTGGTAAACCATGGCTGCATCATGCTGCATCAAAGACCCGTGAGTAAAGACCAGAAGGCTCAAGTGTGAATTCAAAGTGCCAGTAGCAGAGGCCATCACAGGTCGTGGCGCAAAACTGTTGCTGCAATTCGTCTAGTTCACAGCTGGAGGTACAATTGAGGAACATCGGACGTCAGCCTGCTGTGACCAATGCGACAAGCCAAGCTCTTCCTAATCCTCAATTGTACATGTCGAACCAGATTTAGGGGGGTTTAAGGTATGCCGGGGCAACAGCACGTTGCAGATTCAGAGGTTGTTCGGGGCCCTGGGCTCTGCTTGGACGATGCTGTATCTTATGCTGATCTGGCGGGTCACACAATGATGGCAATGCGAAAATGCTCATGAAATACTTTTTGCCGACTTCTTGGTCTGCCGAGGCGAACTCTCGACTGGCAGTTGGCGTAGCTGCGGCCTGCACCTGCACTGTCAGGAAAGGGCAGCGGCACGCATTAGTAGGACGAGCAAACTAACATCTGGGGTGCTCAAGTTGCGGGCAGAGATTCTCTTTGCGCTACAGCTCTTGCTGGGAAGTCTCAGCAGAATCCACAACGACTCCCTGGATGCTTTGCAGGGTCTCGAGGAGATGCGAGACAGCAGTAAGACACATCGCTGTATCGTCCGCACGCAGGCTTTGCCTCTTCTCTAGCTCCATTTGCTCATCATCCCTAAAAAAGGCCCCAAGCAGCTCGGGTGGTGTTGAATCAAAGGGACCTGAATTGGAATCTGAGAGTTGGTAACGAAAGATGTCCTTCTCAATGAGCTGCAGTACCACCTGGATCAACTCGGCATCATTTAGCACTGCTGCCAGAGAGGCCAGGCCCTGCAATGGGCCGCAGGTGTAGCGTGCCCCACCAATCCGTGCGAGAATGCCCTCTGAGACCTCACGAGGCCCGGCCTTGAGCTGAAACCCACCTGACCTACCCAGAAAACGATCCACGTGCTCCGAAGCCCAGCGCTTCAGCAGCTTCCGCTGCTGCTTTCTGAGGCCCTTTGAAGACCATCTTACAGCCAGCGCTCGGGCCGATGAAAATGACCAGAAGTCCAGGTGCGCCTCCCAAGCCTGTCGCAGGAAAGCCTCAAACTGGCGAATGTAATCTTCCAGTTGATCTCGGAAGCTGGAGTGACGCGGAATGTGCAGAGCGGTGACTGCAAGCGATTCCCAGGTGATTGCCGCTCGGTGGAATGAAGTGAAGGATTTGTTCCAGATGCTTTCGGCGTAAATCATGTTCAGGCCTTGAAACCAAGACTCAGCTTCGTTCAAGTGCTCCTTTTTACCTAAAGCTTCCCCACAACGTATCAGGGCCATTAGTGCGCTGGCTTGCACTGCAGGGCTAGCATCGACATCAGCAGGCGCGGCAGGCTGCTTCGGAAATGCAAAAATCGAGGCTCCAGATAGCTTTTGCACACTCATTCCGAGCGTGATCAACTTTCCAGACAGGAGCAGCTTCAAGTGCCTCTCGGCAGTTCTCCTAATACTTTCGGTGTACTGCAGCCCTTGCAAGTCACACAGTGCTGTCAAGGCTTGCAGCTGCCGCAAGATACAATTCTCAATGGAGTCGCGTGAGGGCACGATGTCTAAGCAGCCCTGCAGCCACCGAACGCTCTCCCCCTGCCCAAACTCAGCCTCGTAGCCACCGAAAAGGCCAACCTTCGAATCCAGGCGAAGAGCCAAATGCTCGGCCGCCGAAGTTGCTGAGCTGTTTAGCACCTTCCAGATTCGCTCCTTGAAGGATGCCTCAAGAACCGCTGGGGGCCGTCCGCTCACAGGCAACCACTGCCAGAGGCCCACGAGCAGCAAGAATCTCCAGGTCATCTCATGGCAGGCTGGGACCCGTAAGATTACCACGAGTTTGGCATCACTTTCCTTTCGCTGCAGGTAAAGAGAACCTCTGTGAATTTGTCAGGCTGTTGAGTGAGTGGCATGTGCGTGCTTTCTTGAGAACACACTGCTGCGTCTGCAGCATACTGCGGCGTGAAAGAAATGCAAACCAGAAGTCTCTTGCAGATCTTTTGACTGCGAACCCATCAATCCCTGAAAACCATCAGCGTCGCTTTGGTCAAGTGTTGGTGTTACGGTTCAGCTGGCCTGCTTCCTTGATCTGCTCGTCCTGCTCAGAGCGCGCCAGGAATGTGCCCGTGGAGATGGCGCGTATCACCTTCGCCTTCTCAGGGAGGCCTCGCCAGCAAAACTTGTGTAGTAAGCAGATGCAGTCCATGCAGTCGACAGCATGCCTGGAATTGGAGGAATCTGGGCATGTGCTCTGCGGTAAGAGCAGATGACACCTGCAAGCCCCCAAAAAAAGCCTCTTTTGCGCATCTTGCTAAAAATGTGAAATCTCAGCGCAGGAAGGAGGAAGGCCTCCGCTGCGCTGAAGTCTCCCTCGGTTTCACCGGACGCCAAAAGACGGCACCTCAGCAAAAAGCACACAACAAAGGGGATCTCTGTCTCAAGCACCGGCACCGCCCATCGTTTGTTGCAAGTTCGGGCGCATTTCGCAGAACCATCGACAGAGATCAGCGTGCCTGAGAGCAGAGCTGCGGAATGTTCCCTGACCCAAACGATTGCTGAGACATTCCATCAAGGGGCCGGGTAACTGCGGCCCCATCAGGAAGGTGGAAGCAGAGCAGCCCATGCCTTGCATGCAAGACAGGAAAGTGTACATCTAGGCCTTCTGAGAAAACCCTCTCGAAACTCATAGCAATCTATCCTCCAACTAGCTTCAAGATCCCAACATATCCCATAAAGAGTATGGGGATTCCTGTAACCATGCACACAACGCAGAAATAGGAAGCTTGGCATTGTCTCATCACTTCGAACGCTAGCCAGTCCCCTGCTCAGTTCAGCCAGGCTGCAGGTTTCTGCCCCGGCCTTCAACAACACTGCGCAGGAGGATTTCTATGAATTTGTCAGCTGTCGCACGCCCCTACTTCACAAGCAGGCAGACTAAGACCCGAGGTCTGGACCAATTCCAGGGCCCACGGCAGCTGCAAGACTCGCTATGGGCACCTATCCAATCCCCCTGCAGCAGCTTACCAGCATGCAGTGTCCTAGAGGCTCTGTACTCCTGCATTTGAATGCTGATGTTTAATTTGAGCTCTGGTCAACACGTCGACCCGTGGGTCTGCACACCTGGAAGAAGGATGCCAGGGGCAAGAGGACTGCGTCCACGAAGGCAGCGAATCGTGTTTGTAGACCTCGCGCCAGATTTTACACTCGTCGCCTTACAACATTTGCCTTTGAGTAAGCCTGTTGCGCTGAATGCAGAACTTCTTCACACCATTAGCCAAGACTAGGGTGACGACCCAGAGGAGGGGAGTTACATTGCCCGGGGTGGGGGTTAGATCACCTAAGTGGATGCGTTAGATCACCCAGGGGCCAGGGTTAGATCATCTTGTGGCGGTATAAGATCAACCCCCTTGGTGTTGATGCTGTTTTTGCCACCATGCTTGCGAATCCTTCCAAGCCAGGCTAAGGTTCTTCGGGAACCCTCTGAACGTTGCGGCAGGTTCATCGACATTACAACTCGCAAGCCACTCGCAAACGAAGATTTTCCTGTCCGGCTGTCTCTGGAACAAGAGTAGAAATAAGGTTTCCCGAATGCCCAGAGTGCCCTCCAAACCTCATTCTGGCCCTCTGAAATCTCATCTAGGTCCCTTGAGATATTTTTCTTGAGGTGCTTCCTTTTTCGGGTGATCTAACCCACCCCTCGAAGTAATCTACCGTTTTCCCCCCCCCCCCCACCCCCGACTCACCCTCCCACTTGGGTAATCTGACCCTCCCACTTGGCGATCTTAGGGACCATCTTGTGACGCGATCTTACCCTCATACATTGCGAGATGCACAACTCCCGCCAAGATTACTTAACTACTCGCACCCCGGTCGGTATGTCAAAAACCAGCCTGCGGATGGAAGCAAGCTCCCTCTTGGCACTGTGGCCTACAAGACCAGAAGCCCAACATGCCAAATGTGCTCGATGACTAAACAAGCACTCACATGCCGTTTCTGTTTATCAAACAGTTGCGGCCTGGCGCCCTGCTATGGAGATGCCGAGCTCCTGCAAGGCCTTCCAAACATGGGTGCGGATTTGTGGAACCATTGAACCCAAGCGCATGGCACTCCTGCCCCTACCATCAGCCCAATGGCTCCGTAGATGCTGCTACAAGTACAACTTGTCATGTTACCATGCACCAACCTCTGCCGAGCCCATGAGGCTTGGAGGTCCGCAAACGTAGAGGCTGGTGCCCCGGTGAGACCTCAACTACGTCCGGATTCCGGATGTTGGACTTGTCCATCTGACATGGCTGGCAAGCTCTGGGAACTTTGATCGCGACCAGCTCATGCGGCGCAGGGACACCTGAAAGGAGACAAGCAGCCATGCCAAGTGTTTTGGAATCCTCCTCCAGAACCTCTTCTGTTGCTGTCCTCGGTTGAGCAGCGCGTGGGCCAGAGTAGAGCACCTCTTGTGTACACAGCTTGGCAACTCCTCGAAAATCACGGCCCCCACCCCCAATGACCGACCGTAATCCCAAAATGAACCGTCCGGTTCCTAGCCCCTGCCTCAGCTGGTTGTGCTGAACGGGTTCTCTGGCAGCAGCGGGCCACGTGGCTCCGCATCGCGGCGGCCTTTCCAAATCTTGTGGCATGCCTCCTCCGGCACTTGTGAACATTCAAGCCAGCTGAGGAGTGGGCATCCACGTCAGTGTCGTGCACCTTGTCTGTGGCATATTATTGTGGTTTGCAGCACTGCAGAATTCTGAGCCCTCAGCCTGAGGGGCCTGTGCCGACCTAACACACGAAGACTAAACCCAAGGGACACAAGCTGAGAGGAAACTGCACCGGGCTTACCTTCGTGAAGCATCCCCTCGGCGCCCTCCTCGCGCCGTCCCTGGAGGCCTCAGGCTTTCAGATCATGGGCTGTCCCCCAAGGGTTTGCAAGTATCCAGTTGCAAACAGCAGGTGCTTGCATGTGTTCGCGGCGCACATCCAAGATCCAAAGCCACGAGCCCTCTTCTACAAAAGTCGCAGTTCTCTATGGTTCTACCAGCTATCAGCTATCAGCCCCCTGTGCAGCGTCATGGATTAACAACCCTGTTGAAAATTTCGTGCCACGGAAACACCTGGATCTTGATGATTATTGTGGACGCGGTGTCGCGCTCCCGGGGAACCGGCAAAATGCTGAGGGCTCCAGCCTCGTCACCAAGAAGATCCTCCCACGGAGATGTGGACCGTCACAGGTTCAGAGTGCCAATGAAATCATGCACTCGGCTTGAGCAAGGGACAGCCATTGGGAGATTCTCCACCGTCACATTGTCAATTGATACCACTGCTCTGCACCCAACTTGAATTTACACGCTGCCTCCGGCACCTTTTCAATAGCACGCGCGCTCTTGAACAGCAAGCCGGGCAGAGAGATAACAACAATGTAACAAAACTCAGACCATGCAAGTCTGAAGAAACTTCGGAATGTGCAGTAAAGGAGAAGCCTCCAGATCCAAAGCGCCGTCGTCCTGAGGCAGCAGCTTCTACACAGTGCATGCACACCACTCATTTGACACGTGCTTGTCCTGTTCTTCTTTCGGGCATGCAGCAAAAATTGTTGATGACGACATGCGACCATGCAAAAGACCGACAATGCAAAATCCCGACTCCTCATGACCTTCCTCAGCCTCGAGCTCCTTTGCCACATCAAAGCAACTTCTCTTCTACTCATTTCATGTTCCACAACTGACGTTTATGTTGTCCGGTCCTCACTGCCGCTGTCGGATCCAGGATCCATGTTGGCATCTGCAGCCTGCAGACAAGTCCCGCCCCGAATTTGCTCTTTGCATCAGTCTTCGCACTCCGACCTGAGGATGCGAAGACCTCACCTGTCACAAAAAAAACTTATGCGTACTCGAAGTAGACTAACATACCTCAGCCAGCCTGTGGGCGCGATGGCCTGCAGCAGGTCTGCTGCACTCCAGTAATGGCAAAGCATCGCAGAAAAGCGGACTAATTGTTCACAGACTTGCCGGCGCAACCTCTCTGGCGGCTGCAATCGTCGAGCGATCTCCTCAGGGCAAAACCGTTTTGTTCTGTGTTCTGCTACTGACCAAGAATTTCGATGCTCCTCACGGGTCAAGACCTCTTTGACGCCGAGGACCTGAACAGCAACGGATGTCTTCAACTTTAGTTGTACTAGCTTGCCTCGCCTTGACGAAGAAATCCTTCAGGTCTATCATTTCGATGCCTCTGCAACTGCTTAATGGCGTCTGTAAGCTGCGATCGAACCGTTGACAGGCGAACCCGGCACCTGCTTCACATTCCTCGCTTCGCCTCAGCTCTCTTCTCTCATGTCAGCCATCACCAAGACTTTGAAAAACATGAGTCCGGGAGCATGACGCTTTGACCTGGACCCCATAGAAATTCTTCAGCGCAAACTGGCTGCACGGCCTTGTATTCACCGCTGCAATAGACCAAGATTGTCCGTGACACACCTGCTTCAGCTGCACACCATGTGAGTCTGAGAGTCACACAGTTCAGACAGCTCCTCGCCAACCTCTGGGCAATGTTTCATGCCGTCAGGGACAAGACACCTTCCGGCATGCCAAGGCATGCCTTGCTGGGTGTCAGGCCGACCAGTACGCCTGAGAGGAAGCAAGAAACTTCCACGGCCTGTAGCTTGGTGTATTGCTGAAGTCAGCCAAACTGATGGCAGTAGAGACCTTGCCTATTTCGCGTCTGAGGCAATATGATCAACCTGCTAAACACTGCTTGGAGCAAACAGTGTTGCCAAAAAATTGCTGTGTCTGCAAGCCTCCGCGACTGAAACTGTGTCTCGACCGTGTGGATTAGTGAGTTGGCTCCTGCAGCGTAGAATACATGCTATTGCCATGAACGAGCCATCTCACCCGGGCAGATCTTCAAACGTGTCGGACGTGACCTGTCTCACCCTCCTCCGTACGCCGCCTCTTGAGTCGGCTGTCAGGCACCTAGCCCACAAGTCAAAGAGCGCATGTCCACATACCCGCTTGGCCGTCAGACCCAAAGGGTTGCCTTGACAGGACAAAAACCCAGCTGCAGGTGTGGCATGGCCACATTTGTGTGCTTCCCCACGCAGAATATCATGAGATGCAATTCCATCTGCGATTGTAATAATAGCTGAAGCTTGAGCGCATTGTGCCTACCGATAACAGAGCTTTGTTTCTTCTTGCAGTTGCGGATGTAGGTGCTAAATGTGGAAACAACTCTTCTGTTCTTCTCAACAAATTTAAGATCTCAGGGAACATAAAAAGCCACCATTGCAGTCATTTTCCAGTATGATAACTAACTTTGGCAGCTGCATGGCCATGTCTTTGCTGCCTAGATTGCAGCAGCGCAACAAAAACAAACATGCCAACAGGCACCACTGAATCACGAATGTGCTCCTCCAGTTGCAACATGATCTCAGCCTTCGTGTGTTGTGAGCATGCCTTGCTGGATGTTCTTCAGCATGTGGAAACATGCAACTGAGGCTCGGGCATAGAGCCGTCTGAGGAAGCCCAGGCTAGGCTTCAATGCCTGCCCTTCGCCCCCGGCGTTGCTTGGGAGCAGCCTGCAAAGTGACAAGGCATGATTGCCCATTGCAATCAACCACGGACCTGCCTCTGCAAGGCTGGCAGCAGCTGCAGCCTGGAGCATCAGCATCATCACTCATACTAGCTGCAACTAACGCCTTTGTTAACTTTGAAGCGTTGCTGCTACTATCTGCTACTGGCTTCCCGGCATTCCAGGTGACTCCCGCACAGAGAGGAAATCGCAGAACCAGCAGCGCCTTAGTGAATGTTTGAGCTCTTCTGCGCATCGCTACATACACAACATGCTGTGAGTGGTCCCTCGAACCTATCTGCTTCCACATGGTGCTTTTCATTTGCCAACTGATTCATTCCAACCACTGAGCTCGCGGCAGAGAAGGTCCGTAGATCTCCTGGAGCAGCATGGGTCGAATCGCCCGAAAAAATGTAAAGCAGGATACGGCTTCCTCCAGCATTGAAGTTCCAGCCTGGCTAGAGCAATTGCAGAGCAAGTGTCACGGACTTTGAGAATGGCCACGAACTCTGTCCACGTGCCAGGGAAACCAGTTCACAAACCTTACGAGCAAAGTCAACATCTGCGTCTCCAGCAGACCACACAGCCTGGCAGCATGCAAAGTATGAATCGCAGGACGTCGCAGAAGAGGCTTTCTTTTCGAGAGCTTTTATCTCTAGCAAATATGGGCACCAACCCTGCCTGCTGCGCACCGATCTTGCCCTTCCCAGGGATGAAGATGTGGTTGCGCAGAATGGCCAACCTCAACATTGCTCTTGGCCCTTGTTGCCGATTTCGAGCATCATGCAGGGTGCTAGGGTGGGACGCTAAAATACATGGGATCGTCCTGTCACGGAGCTCATGCCAAATCTGATGCAAGCAAGTTGAGCAAGCAACGCCAACAAATTGGATACCCTGCGTTCGGGCTCGCTCTCCCTGGCACACTGCATCAATGTTAGTATAGGCTAGTTCTAGAATGGATCTGTTTCTAGCAGTTTGTACCGTTGCTGGCGAATTGCGGACTATGTTTGTTCCAACTGAGCTGAAAGCAAAGAGTCTGCTGGCCTTGTGCTCAGGCAAGCTGGGCAGCTGAAAGTACAGCCATGGTTCATGCACTTGGGTCATTACATCTACCAGGCAAAAACACATGGCTCTGGAAGTGCTATCCGATAACCTCGACTTTAACTTACAGTAAGATTCACATACTTGCGCAGCTTGTTGGCATACGCAAGCCGGCTTGCGTGCCCAAATCATGCTTTACTCCGTGCCTCTCCGCAATGGCCCGCTGCAGCAAGGCCTGGCAAGCGCCCAACATGACCGGAATGAAGCAGAGCTACCGCGAAAACCGCGAAAGCATGCCGGACAAGCGCTGACCAGTGCTTTGGGCGTGCACATCGCTGGCGGCTCCTGGACCAAGGCTCTGCAACCCTGATTCCTTGCCTTGTAGAGCAAGCTTCATGATGCTACCTGACCTTACGATTCCCTGTGCGCAGTGTAAAGTCTGAATGGCAACTCTCTGAATCCGCCATAGACTGCTAGTTTAATCGCGAAACCAGCCAATCTACAGCCAATCTATGCCTCAGAGGACCGCCAAGAGGTCGCATCTCATCATTAAGACCAGACCCATCAGGTTCTCTACTTTTCGCCAGAACCCCACCCGCTGCTCGCGGCTCAGCCATAGCACGCCAATTACTACGAAACCCATTCCCTACAACAGGGCCTTTTCCACCCAGAAGCGCAAAGCAACAGCCAAATTCTCGAAGTCGGGCGTGCAGCGGATCCTCTGCAAGCTGATTGAGATGCAAGCTCGCACACATGGCCCAGGAAAGTCAAAGACAAGTTGCCTCAGAAGCTCGAGGAGCCACTGGCAGCAGACCTCTGCCTCAGCGGATTCAGATGTTCAGTCCCTGCGATTCCCTAGGAAGGCGTTGCATTTCCTATGCTAGAGTCAGCTTGACAGTATGCGTCATGGTTAATGTGCCGGCTCCTGGCCCTGTCGGGCACGCTAATTTGCGCATGACGCATTCAGATGAACTGCAATCAAAGCTCCTTGTCTACTGTGAGACACACCTGAATCTTCAACAGCTAAGGCTAAGGATTCGAGCACAAGCTCTGGAATTGTCTTGAACGCCTAAGCCTCGGAAACCATGAACTAGAAATGAGAAACCGTCACGCTCAGCATGCAGCGTCCACGTAAGCCAATCCAGCTTCGCCTGCAGAAAAATGTGCGATTCTGTGAGGTGCTCACTCAGCACATCCGAGACCGCCCTGACAGAAATGCCAGAGATCTGCAGCATGGGCACCCTGTGTCTGGGGAACCCTACCAACCACTGGCTCAAAGGCCCCACGCCGGAAGTAGGTGTTGATACGATGGCCGGGACCTGGCCAGCTACGTGGCAAGTAGACAACAAGTAGACCAGAGGTTGGCGATCACTTGGCCTGGTTGATTGGGAGCTGGCGGAACCTGGTAAACCACACCATGCCGTTGAAAGACTGGGCTTCCTCAAGGTTCTGTGCCTCCAAGTCGGGCAGCCAGCCATGATTGTCCCGAAACACGCGTGCGGCCTCAGCCATCCCCAGCCCTGGATTCAAAACACCCTGCGCCTTTTTTGCAAGGCCAGGACTCCAGCAAACTCAGGCCTGCACATGTCTGCGGAGAGCGGGTGACGTGGAAAGAGCCTGGCAAGCTTAATTTAACCCATGCAGCTCAGGAGATTTTGGGCTCCAAGGCTCCCTAAGCAGCCCCAAAGGCTGAAAAGTCTTGTGGAAGCCTTTGTACCATTACGGAAACTCTGAACCGTCACTGCAATCTACAAGGATTCGGCAGTGTGCAAACATGCAAATGCCAGGATGGAACAACCTCTTGTACAGTCCGAAACACCGCCTTCATGGCAAAAACCCTTGCGTTGCACACTTCCATGCTTGTCAAGCTTTTGCAAAGCTGACTTGTGCAATGTTGCGCGTCGTCTGTGCATGTTGAAGCCTGCCAGAACTGGCGAGAGACCAGGCGCTCCTGACAGACGAGGTGCCTCAACTTGACCTGCTGAGCAACTGTCTCCAATGCTGCCCAGGTTGCTGCCACCCGGTCGACCGCAAGATTCTCGATTCCAGGCTGAACCTAAGGTGCAAAGATGCTAGCCGCTGAGAATGAAAGCCACAAAGAAGGCACGGCGCTGAGCCGCCAGCACATCCCACCTCAGTCAGAAAAGCCTCACGCCTCAGCAATGCAGGCTGACCAATCTACTAACTACTAGTTGCTAGTGTCCAGGCAGTGGAGCAAGCATCCTTGCCACTGCAAGTAGTCTCAGATTCCGAAACCTCAAAGCTGCTGGTGCTAAGTCCCAACAGGAGGAGCAGCTCATTCCATCCACCAGCCTGAAGAAGCGATGAAGGCCCAAACACGAATCTACCGAGTGCAAGCCTGACACCGGGCCTGGCTACCGGAAGAAGCGATTGCCACCTGCAGCTTGCCGCCCGAATGACCGATACATGGCAACTTTCAAGTATTGCCCGCCCTCAACTTCTAAGAGGAGACCAGGACCACTACTCCACAACAAACCAGTGCGGCTGATGATGAGATGTCATCAACTCTTGCAGGTGAAGCCGGATATTTGAACTGACATATACTAGTTCTGAATGGACTCCCCAATGCCCGAGTCAAACTCTAAGACTCTAGCCACAGTGTCTGTCATATTGAAATCGAGATAGTTCGGCGCCACTTATGCTACTGCTCCTCGGCCCCGCCAAGTGGTCTGGTGTTGGTGCCTGATCTGAGGCCATGACCACACTGGTCCGGCCACTGGACATCCTCGGCCAACTAATGCCCACCTGTCTTTTCCTTGCAGCTCTACACCCTCCTTACAACTTAGAACCTGCGGGTCTCATGTTCTTCAAGCTCTTGGCCCAGCAGGTGGCGGTGGTAGCACTGTCGAAGCCGCCTCCAGACATCAAAATCACAACGACAAGTTTCTGCCAGCCCAAGCCCATCCAACCAAAGCTGTTCAGCGCATGGATACGATTCCTTGTTTTCTATCTGATGCAAGTCCAGGACAGATTGAGCATGTTCAAGCTCTTCAACATAGAAATGCTTCCCATTTGATCGAATGGGACCCATCCGTTTCGTAGTAGGCTTTCTGGCGTTAAAAAATTGACCAGTGGGCACCTCCGCTCAGCTTGAACTTTTTGACACCCATCAATCGGACAACCACTATTTAATTTGCGTCTTTTTGGAGCTTTCGCCAGCTTTGTGTCAATGATAGTAATTTCATCCGACCTGGGAACCATGCTGGGCGTGCGGAGCTCTAGAGCACTTTCAAACGTCTTGATGTCAAAACCTTCAAGGCACAGGAACCAGCTTGCCCACCTGTTTTTGAGCCTTGCCGTTTTGCGGCATGTTCAGCCTCCTGGGCTCTGTTGCCTTGTATGCTTGAGCTCTGACTTCCAGCTCCCGGAAACCAAGAACCAAGATTCCTGGACATCGTGGTTCTTGCTTTGTGAGCCTTGGTGCTTGTCCCAGGAAACCAAGAAAAATCTAGGCCCTTGATTCGCAAGCGGTGGATTATCGAAGGGCCCCAAGATGGTGGATGCAAGGTGTCCTGCGCCACTGTAAATACTTCATCTAGATTGGTGCAAGAGTTCCTCCATCCTCCGTAATGTAACAACTTGTCAACAGAGAGCGCACAAGGGCTGTATGACAGCCCGCTCAAACCGGATGGCCAGTGGATGCACATTACTTAGAGTCTGGAGTTTACCTCGCTCTTCAGGACAAAGTGTGGAACAAACTCCATCTCCATCTCTCCAACGACATGTGAATAAGCAAGATGTTAACTTCTTTTCTCAGACTCACGTGTTTCCACGCCTATGACAAGTTCTTATCGTGTCAGCTGTATCCGACATTCCCAAACTAATCATCCTAGCATTTTCCGAGTGGACACCAAAGGATAAAATTGCCAGATATGTCATTTCCTAAAAATGATGGGAAGCCAATGTACTTTCTGACCCGAAGACAGCGACAATGAGCTTTGAGTTGTTCATAATTATGACTGTTACGACCGCACCAGAACTATGACAGCGGTGGTCATGATGGCCACAACAAACTGATGGTGGAATCAGTACCGGTGATGACAATCGGGCTGCCCGAGGAGAATGATCAGAAGAATTTCTGCACCATCACCAAGCTTGCTGTGAATTGGTCCGACCCCACCCCCCAAAGTGATGAGACCCCCTCCAGACCATGTTCAACAGGAGTGCCCCTACCAAGATCTGATCAATTCGTGTAAAGCTTCCGATCTCCCCGCTTGACTTCTTTCTATCTGTGATAACTGCATGAATCGCACCTCGCTGGCCTCCTCGACATCTTGCTCCTCGCCCATGTGTTCCTGAGAGCAAGGATTCTGCGTGCCAACTCAGCCCTGCGCCTGCGAACATTGCAGCATCGCCTCCAGCATGCCTCTTGCCCTGGGAGGCTCGCTCGCTGCAAGACCTCAGCCGCCCGATCATTTCGATCGAAAAGGCGGAGCAGCTCATCTGGCAATCGGACCCAGGAAGGTTGGAAGAAGCAGAGAACTCGAACGACGAAGCCGTAGCTGGCCGGCAGCCTGGCTGAAATGCAGCCGACAAGAGTTGTGTGGGCACGTTCTGGGTGACAAATGCACGCTAACAAGTTTACGGATATGTAAATGCAGCAGCGCGGCCGATCGAGTGGGCAGCCACAACACACGGCGCAGGTCCTCAATTGAATTCACATGATTTTCCAGAACTCAAAAAGACACAAAGCGAGCAGGATGCAGGACAGACGAAAGCTGCCATCGCACTGTTGTCAGGACCTTTGAAGCAACCAACTTGTTATTCATGTGCAGATTTGGCATTTGACTCCTGGACAGTTCGAGCACTCAGAATTCAGCGGAAAACAGGTGCAAAGCATGCCGCAGGATCGGGCCTCAAGCTCGCTTCAGTCTTTCCTTTCTGGCACAAGGTTGAGGCAAAGGCGGACCAGAATCTTTCTCGTGCCCAGGCACCTGGAACGTACCAAAATGGAATTAAGAACATCGCTACTTTCGAGTGTCTCAAAGAACGCCACCTTTACCAACCTTCCAAAAGCACCAAATCTGAGATTGAACACATACAATGCATACATGAAGCAGCAGCCTTGCGAGCAGCAATTCGAGCTGGGTCGAGACATTGCTCTCGCGCCAGGCCTCGGCCAGTGATTCATAGGTCCAGGAGCTGAACTGCTTCATCTTTGCAACAAGCATGGGAGCTGTTTACAGCAGATGGACTGCATGGAACTCTTGCGAACAGAGAGTTGTTCACTTTGTTGTCAGTCATTGCTCATGGCGATCGATCAAGACAGGTCAGCGCGTTGTTGCCACCAAAGCTAAGAACTCTAGTCTCTAGAGTCGACTCGCTGGGAAGCTGCACGGACAACGTCCAAGCCAGCCCAGAGCACAGCGAGCTCGGCCTGCAATATATCAGCAAGCAGAGGCCTTGTGATATCAGAAGCTGTATGCTAGCTGATCCTGGACACGTGTGAGATGTTGATACACACCCTTCCAATGCAAATAGCATGTGCATGGCCTCCTCACCTCCTTCGCAGGTAGCTTTTGCGAAGGTGCCGCCTGACAGCAAGCAGCAAGCAGCACCGGCATGAATTTCAGACGGCTCGGTTCCCGAGCAGGGGGCTAAAGCTATCAATGGCCACGGATTCCGCCAGGATGAGTGCATGAACGCCTTAGAGTGGTGAGCATAAAGCACAGCATTGAAGATTCAATCTGAGCCCTACACGCACCACTGCTGCGGCTACTTCAGATAGAACAGCCTGCCAGTTCCAAGGCGTTGGGAAACAAGCAGAAATGAAGGTGATAGCCCATTGCATCAGTGCACGAAGCATTTCTTCAAGGACATAGCAAGGAGGATAGTAGCGGCAGACACGGAGTGGCAAACTCGCTCGCAGCCCTGCCGCATGCTTCCATCCGTGCCTTTTGGCACACAGGTAAAGGGGCAACTTTGAGCATACGTCAAACATCCAGCTGATACCTTCCGCCGTGCGGAAGGACTGTCGTCAAAAGTATTCAAGATATGCTTATCAAACGTACACTATCTTACTCGGCAGAAAAAGAAGGAAAACGTGGCACGATGATATCTAGCCAAGCAACACCTTGCACGCATTATCATGGAATACCTTGCTGAGATCTGTCTCGCTTGCGCCAGCTCGTTTGCAAGCGTCATACACCAGGCCAGCACTTCTGTCATATTGATCCCCCATGGCCTCATTAACGAACCAATTAGACTCATAAAGCACACGGTCGAATCCAATGGCTTGGATAGCTCTATCCAAGAAGTCCTCGGGGTTGGGCACATCCCACTCCTCAGTGGCTCCCAACTTAACATAGACATTGGGCAGTTTCCCAAGGCTGTCCATGGCTGGTCCCCAAGCCTCCATGTCACCTCCCTTGTTTCCATTGTGAGCCAAGTGGTCGATAACAAATGTCATGTGCGGGAACCGCTCGATACAGCCACACAGGAAAGGAGCCATTCGTGGCTCACAACAGAACTCCCAAAGCAGTCCAGCTTTGCCAAGCGCGTCAAGCCCCTCCAGAAACTGGGCATCCAAGCAGGCATCATCTGCCTGATTCTCCCACATCATGAACACATAACGGGCTCCCTTCAGACCCTTCGGAAGGGACCCGTCTGCATCCCGCAACAAATCCAAAAAACGCACTACCTCAGCAGCCCCCTTTTGTACGCAAATATTGGCGACCAGCCCCAAAATAGGGGAGCCCGCTGCATCCATGAGCCGCAGGACCCACTTGGCCTCCTCAAGGGCAGGTTGGTTGGCGCACTCAACGAAAATTGCACCGGAGATTTGGAAACGCGCTGTCTCCGTGGACTTGCGGAAGTCTTCCAGTGTCCAATCGCGGCGGAAACCTTCAGCCTCCTTCAAGGGGGAACATCTCCTACAGCCCTTCAAAACAAGGTCTCCCAGTGCGCCATCTCAGGCTTTTTGCCACAAACCCACCTCGGGATGCCAGGCATTCGGCAATCCTCCAGAGTAGTGCTGGCTGAGGTGTATATGCGTATCAATGACGTTCTTCACCAGGTATTCGCACTCCATGGCTCAGTTCAAGTATGAGTTGTGCAGGGATCCTTGTTAAATTGAATAAGCTGAGCCGCTTGGATGATGAGTGCTCCGCACTAAAATTTACACGCCTCTGATTGCCGAGCCAGCCAAGCTTCGCAATGGCCGAAGACGTGAAAGACACACTTCACAATCCCACAGTGCGAGGCCTCCCGTATGCCAAGCCTCAGATTCCAACATCTTATCGCGCTTGCAGGAGCCCTCACTGCTTTTTTAAGGCTCTGGCTGCCGCAGCAGCTTTTGGCCACTGCTCGGCAAGGCGTTCCAGGACAAATTGTCTAGCACCTCGGCTGTGGGCTCAACTCAGCCATGCCGGGCAGGGCAATGCTGAGGTCAAAACACGCACGTTTGCATGGGCAAGCAAAGTAGATGCGGTGGCCTGCTCCAGGCATCGACAGCTTACCCTGGAGGAAGAGTGCAGAATCTGATGTGTAAGCAAGCCCGTTCACGTGCCTGATCCAAACCTGGGCACCATGTTCCTGGGTTGAGGAGTTGGCTGCATGTTCATGGCTAATCCTTTGACGGCACCTGAGCCAGGCAGGTGGATGTCTCCCTCCGCCAGGCTCGTCATCGAAATGGCCTTGGAACACATGTCGCAGCTCGAAGATGTGTGTGTGCGACTACGCAACTGGGGCTGACACTCCTGATCCCTCATCCAAGGGTATCACCTGACCACTGGTCAGAGAACATTCTGCAAAGCGTTTTCAACCCAAAATGCCTGCATCTGCTGAATCTGCGTGATCATGTCCAGCAGGCTCTCTTGTCCTGCCACGTCCAGAAAGCAAGCAATGTCTTGCAGCCCATTCCGGGACTGAGGTGCCTCGGGGCTCAGCATCCGAGAACATGGGCACTTCCTCTGACTCGCGCTGCGCAGCGCCCAGCAAAGCGCTCAATAATTCACAGACTTGGGTGAGTCCCAATGGACTTCTGGACCTGCAGTGCTGGCAAAGCAAAGCTTTGACTGTCTCGTTGTTGACCAAAGCCTTCACACTCTGTGCGGAGAGGGGCTCAGCGCGGAGTGACAGGAGCCTTTGCGCATCCTCCGCTGCCACATCCTGGTTGTGCGCCAGTCGGGCCAAGCGCTTGCCAGTAGCTGCTGGCCAGGATTCCATGGGCAAAGCATGGATGAACTTCATTGCACCAGGAGAGCGCACCAATGCAACGGGTGGAACCAAGACCTCTGACGGTTTGTAAAGCCTCATCTCCCCAACCACAGGTATCACAGGGGCGTCGCCAATCCTCTCCACTGCTTGCTCAAGCAATCGTCTCCAGAATGGCTCCAGGACGCGTCTAGAGTCCAACAACGCCAGAACGTTTGTTCCCGGCTCGCTGCCGAAACGGCCGATCGCCTCAGCCAAAGCCTCAGCTGCGACTCCTCGCAGCCACACATTCCTGGGATCCTCTAGGTGGAAATCTTCGCGGTTGGATGTCAAAGACCAAGGCGCGTGCACGGAAAAACGGAAGCCAACTGGTCGAACTGGCAAGAAACAGAAGACAGGATCTGCTCTAGATGACTCTCCATCCGCATCGAACTGGCTGCCAAGGCCGGCGGCAGGTTGTTCCTGCACCTTAGATGAAATGTAACTCCTTGTGACAGTTAAGTTCTTAAAGCGATGAATTGTTTACGGCAAGCAAAGCTCCTCATGCCAAAGCCCATAGCCCCATAGCCAATTCATGCAGGTACACTGACTTGCACTTTGCACTGAGGCCAGGGCAGAGCCTTGCTGAAAGGCAATCACAACCTTCCCAATTCGGCAGGCTAGCGGCGAGGCTAGAAAGGCAAGCAGTTCAGGCCTCCTCTGACCGGCTGCCGGGCTCTACGCCAGTTGGCAGCAGGTCCTGTGGGACCACCTGGGGCTGCAACAGACTTGGCCAAGTGCCTCATGTACAAGTCAACCTTCAGTCTTTTTTGCTAAAGGCCCCTGGGCTCATGCCTGTGGGTCTTGCCGTGTTCCAGGTGTGCTTTTGTACAAAGGTATTGGAATGGTGGAACCTGGGAGGGCCCAAGATCCTAGTCCGTGGCCCCGACCGGCACAGCCGCCCCTGGAAATCCCATAAGATTCCGCAAATAAAGCTATGCTTCTTTGAGAGGACCGTCAGCACTGCTGACCTCTCTATTTTTTGGGAACATGCCATTCTGTCTTGTCATTCACGCGCTCCGAGCGAAGTACTAATGTTTTTGATGAGATGTTACTGTACTTGTACTGGTTTTGGAAGGTGCTAAAGGGTGATAGATGTTTGTGGAGGGATGTTCATTCTCTTCAGGAGGGGCTGTTTCCAAATGTAAGGGTGGATAGTGGGGCCAGTAAGGAAAACAGAAATAGTGAAATGACTCGAATGAAAGAAACATTTTCAAGAATGAGGATCATATTGGCATAAATGCCTTCCAAAATGTGCCAAAAGAGTCTTGGAAGACATTGGGCAAAAAATCTGATGATGCTGGCAGGGGTTGTATTATCAGAACAGGACGGCTTCGGGCTTTGGTTTCGACGCTCCAGCTCCTTCCGCACAGCCACCCAAGGAAATAGGCCTGAACTCTATGAACACAGCTACAATGTTTCGTGCCTGAAGGAATCGTTCAAAATCAACTTTCTGCAAGTGATTAAATGTAGTTGCAGTCTAGCAATGACGCATGTCTCGCAAATGCAGAAGGCACACCCAAGATCAAAATGCTCTTACGGTTGAGGAGCTCACGCTGCTCTTTCTGTGAACAAAGAAGGCAAACTCCTGACAACTAGGATGGCTTTGGCCTTTCGGAGTGCGACTGCATTCAAAGAGCCTCCTCCTTCGCCGCGCCTGCAGTGTTGCAAGACCAGACTCTGAAGCCAAGGTATTCACTTTGGTCGCTTTGAATGCAACATGTACGGCAGCCGCGCTATCCAGAATGGCGCCTGTGCTGCTCTCCACACGACGAACCATGACAGAGTTTCTGCACCTCGGAAGGCCACAACAAGCGAATAGCACCCAGAAGGTGCTGGCTGTTCTGAACGTAGTGCGCAAGGTCTTTCTGTCAACAGGTGTAGCTGCTTTGCTTGTCTCGCCTACTTGTTGTCAGATTGCTTCGGAAGTATGTTCTTTCTGTTTGAAATCATGCTACTAAGAGGGCATCCTCTGCTTTCTTTTTCCAGCACATGAAACATGGTCTTATTCCAAGTTCCCAAGTTCTAGTGGCACATGTGCTATACTTACTTCACTGATGGATTTTAGGCGCACAGCCCGTAGCCAAAAAGCAGGACACTGAAGGGACCAGAAGACTAATTGCTTGCAAATTCATAGCAGTGTTCTCTCATCTATGAAAATAGCATCATGAAGCATCACAAAACGGCGTAAACACGAACGCACAAAACTATTCGCAACGAGCGGTGGTCAAACACATCTGATTAATCTGCACGTGATAACTTGAAAATTCGAACAGCAACGTGACTGTGCACGACGACAAAGGATTCCAGGCTCACCTGACTTGGCATTGCAGCGTCTGAGACCCAGCCGTTCGAGGGAAACGCGCTGTGGTCTGGCCATGCTTCATGTTCAACTTTAGCTGAAGCATGCTTTCCCAAGCGCGGTCATCCCACCTCGAGGATGCCGCATCCTCCCAGGCCTCTTGCGAGCTCGTTTTACTGGCTGTTTGTTCTTCATTCGGATTGCTAGCTCTCGGAGTTGCGCTACGCGGCAGAGCTGCCGCAGGAAAAGTAGCCAGGCCGGGTACCTCCAACAAAATCTCTCATGATCATCAAACTGACCCGATATTGGGGAGCTCCAACGATGCAAGATTTGAGTAGCCTCTCGCATGCAAGGAATGGAGGGGCACTGGAGCAGCCTGTCCATTGAGCTTCGTATTAAAGCCGCAATGCCAAGTCCTGGCATCAGAAAGCATCTACCAATCAAACAACCACTGCACGCAGTGGTCACAGCCTCCATCTCCCGCATCTGCAGCAGCTCCTACCAGCAACATGCTGTGCTCAGCCCATAGCTGCTCTGGAAGCTGAGAGTCATCCAAATCCCAGCTTGAGGGGCAAGCCCAGACAACGAAAGCTAGTCAGGCTCCAGCACTGAAAAACAAGGGAGGAGAAAAGGCGGATGCCAGCAAGAAGCACAAGCCTTGTTTCCGACACCCGGACAACCCCTCCCAAAACCTGGCCAACTCTACTCCACTTTCCATTCAGTTGTCGTAGCTCTACTTGCCACTCGACTTTCCAATCACGTGTCATTCCATTTCCCATACTACTCTCCACTCTGCTGTCCTGTCCACTTTCCCTCCACTTTCACCTCTACTTTCCACTCCACTTTCCACTAGACTCTCCACTCCACCTTTCAATCCACTTTCCCCCACTCTCCGCTTCACTACAATTTCCACTCCACCCTTCAGTGCACTTGCCAGTCTACTCCGTCCACTCTCAACTTTCTGCAGCCAACTCTCATCTCACATGCACTCCTCCAACCCCATGTCTCCACTACAAGATCCAAGCCACTCTCCACTCCATTCTCCTCTCCACTGCAACCCACTTGCACTCCACTCCGCTACGCCGCTTTCCACTTCAATTTCTGCGCGCTCCACTCCGCTTTCTTTCTTTCGTTCAGGCTATGGAGGGGGGATTGCTCCCTCCTCCGGGCTTCGCTGCCCAGCCCGTGCTCCATCACACTTTCCATTTGACTTACTTTCCATTTGACTCTGCACTCCACAGCCCTCCGCTCCACTCCACTCCATTCCAGCCCGCACTCCGAGCGGGATCGTCCCTGCAAAGGTCCACAAGCCAGGACAGTTACGAGCATGGCGACCCCAACAGCCAGTGTCCAGACCACAGCAACACCACTAATGAGAATGGCGGCCCCGAGCAGCCTCACCCCTGCGACCGACTTTCGACATGCGACAAACAAGCCACGACAGCCCGAGGGCGCCCATGCCCGCGATTGGCATCGTTCACACGCCATGGAGACGCGCTGCAAAACCGGCGACGGATCCGAGGATAGCATCCCAAGGGGCCCCATCACTGTGACTGGCACTTTCCACGCGCAACAAACACGCGGCCCGACAAGCATGAGGTTACCTGTTACATGGCCACATGAGGGTAGGGAACCTACCCAAGGAGAAGCGAGGTGCAAAAACCAAGCCTGGAGGTATCTGCACCAGGACCACAAAAGGATACAGAAAGAGAAGGAGATTTGCTGCATTTTGTTGGAACCGCTGAGCATGATGTAACTCACTCATACAAGTACCACGCAAAGGAAGCAAACACTAGAAAAGGAGGAGGGGGCCAGATGTAACTGGGTAGGGTAGTGAACACTAGAAGAGTGGTCAATGAAGCATGAGATAACATGAGTTTGTTTGCACCAGGGCCAGGACAGGAGGGAGAGGTTTCATGCAACCACCCAGCATGATGGTTTGCGCAGGGTCGTGACCACTATGGAGGAGGCAGGGAGGTTTGATTCAGCGACCGGCATGGTTTATTTATATCACGACCTTGTAAGGGCCACGTGTTCTTCGTATGATGACATTGCCGCGGTATGATATGGTATGGCACACTACAAAGACTGTACGGACGTTCGACGTGACCACCAAGCCTAAAGCCATGGCACCAGGACCGTCAGCGGCAGTAGACACGACTGCGATAGTAAGGAGGTTAGATGCGACTGCAGTTTGATGCCACAACCTGCCATGAAAATCTTCTTGTCACGACCGCATAAGGGCACGGAACACCTCAGAATGAATGAGTTTGATGCAACAACCAACCATAAGGATGTGCGCAAAGCCCACTAAACACTACAGAAAGCGTAGGCAAGGTTCAATTCAAGCCACAAAGCATGATGATGCTCGTACCACGGCCAAGCAAATATAGTGAGCCGAGTCAGCACAAATAAGTCAAGTAACTCATGGAGAGGAACTTAAAAACTCATGAGCACATCCCATCCCATAGCATTCCTTGAAGTTACCCCACAAGGTTTTGCAATGGAGTGGAGACTTGATGAAACCACCAAGAAAATGCGATTTGATTCATGATTTGTGACGGGCGTAATTTTGTTGATTCCTTTTGTTGTTTCTTTGTGACTTGTTTTTTGGCTGGGGGCCCGGAATCGAAGGACGCCTCATACGAGAGCGCGATTCTGAGGCAGAAACTGTGAGGACTGATGAAAAATCACGAAAAAAATCATGAAAAATTAAAGAAAATAATATAAAAATGATGAAATGATATAAAAGGATGAAAATGATATAAAAATTTTAGAAATGATGAAGAGTTATGAAAATGATAGACAAATGATGAAAATTGTGACAATCATGAAACTGCTAGGAAAATGATGGAAAATGATGAACTTCATGAAGAATAGTGACAAACAATAAGAAAAAATGAGGCGGAAATGATGAAAAATGAAAAAGTGATGAAAATTTGATGAGAAATCATGAACAATGATGACAAATGATGAAACATAGTGAACAACAATGCAAATGATAGAAAATGATGAAGAAAAGTCATGAAGATTTTGAAAATCATGAAACTAGAAAAATGAAACGACGAAAAAGGATGATGATGAAACTGATGGAAAAAACGATGAACGCGATCAAAAATATGAAGCCTAATGTTGAAAAATGTTTGGAAACTATGAAGTTCATGAAGACCTGGCGCAGAAGATGCAAGACTGCCCTGTTGGGATTTTTTCCTTGCAAACCGAGTTGACCATTCATACGGGGGCCTCCAGGGCAGTGGGAGGCACCAGCACACTCCTGGCCCATGTGTCTTGCTGAAGAATCTTGAAAGGAACGCCAAGGCCCATCTAGTCCAAGTGCGTTTCTTCAAACTTGGCCCGGACTACCTCATCCACGTCTCCAGTGACATCCAGGCAAGTGGATGCGTCCACAGTGATGTTTATTGGGCTGCCCGGGGCATCAAGAGGAAGAAGTGTAATGCCATGCACTGATGATGGTGATGGCGTCTCCTTGCCGATGAGCCTTGCATGGCTTCAGTTGGAACCATACATTTGGTCCAAGACTGGGCTTTGCGGACTCAGCTTTTGCACCAGGAGGTAGGCGAAGTCGTGGCAGTTGGCCTCAGAGATGGAATAGGCTCCTTTCCTCCGCATAAGCTCATGAGCTGTCATGCGGAGCTTTTCCAGGTGCTCTTGGCCCATGAGAAATTTGTCAAGCCAGAGCTGCATGCCCGAGAGAGGTTCGGCACGGTCTCCGCGCAGGCTTCTGCTTCATGACGCAAGGTACCCCAAAGATAGCCGTAGATGTCACCATTGCTGTCACGGCAAACAATTTCCGAATGGCGGAAGAAACCCATGCTGCCCTGGACGTTATAGACAGCAACTCCGATGTTCATGGCCATGGCGAGAAACCCGAAAGTGAACGTGATGCGAGTGCCACCTCTGATGCTACAGCAGTTCTCAAATCCGATATGGCGCACCACAGCAGTTCAAGGGAGTGTCACTGATCAGCATGGCCATGACGGCATGGCATTGTTGTGGGATTGGTGCAGGGCGGGGGGGAGGGATGGGGCGGGGGAGGAGGGGCAAGGCCTGGAGGGGGGCGGGGGGGGGCTCAGCGCCCCCCCATTGACAAACAAAATGATCTGGCTAACCCTCCTTTACTGATCATCTACTACTACTACTACTACTACTACTACTACTACTTCTTCAGGCAAGTACAGAAAGCGAAAACCACACAGAGCCAGAAAACGAAGAAGCCAGAAAGCCAAGAAGCCAGAAAGCCAAGAAGCCACAAAGCCAAAAAGCAAAGAAGCCAAGAAGGCAAAAACCCGAGCGGCCAACAGAAAGAAGGCAGAAGTCAAGCAAGTGATAAATCTGATGCAAAATTATGACAATCATGAAAATGATGAACAAATGTTGTCTAACAAAAATGTTGAGGAATTGATTTAAAAATGATGAAACTGATCGAAAATTATAGAAGATTAGGAAAATGATAGAAATTGATAGAAACTGATAGAAAATTAGGACCATGATAGAAAAATGATGAAGAATGATGGAAAGGACAAAATCCAAATGCGCTCCAGGCCAGGGCCACCAAAAAAAAAAACATAAAAAAAAGTCTCGAAAAAATAGGCCCTCCATTTGTGAGGGGTAAGAAACACCAAGGACGGGCTTGGGAGCTTTGATGCAACCACGAGCAAGATGCTACAGGAACCGCGACCATGCAAGGGCTGCGAAAGCTACAAAAGGTTAGGAAAGGTCGATGGCACTGCTCGTACTACGTCCAACAAGGGTAGTGCGTGAGCGAATGTGAAGGTTTGATGCCAGCAGCCAGCATGTTCTTACCCGCACTAAAACTATGCAAGTGTGGTGATCACAATGGAAGAATAAGGCTTGCTGCAAACACCCGCATGACAAAGTTCGTATCGTGGCCTTTCAAACGCAATAGAAAAAGTAGGAAGGTTCCATGCAACTGCAAAGAAGAATGCCTTTCGCGCCATAACCAGGCACGAGCACTGGAGACAACAGGTGGAGTAGGAAGGCCCAATGCAACCAGAGCATGATTTTGCTTGCACCGCGACCATACAAGGGTAGTGCACACTACGGAAGGGGAGGGAGGCCTGAGGTACCATGACCAACAAGGGTACGCATCACTAAAGGAGTATGGACAGTAGGGAGACTTCATGCAAGCATAGGCCGCAGAGAGGTTGCATGGAACAAGCAAGCATGATGTCTCTCACAGCATGACCACGCAAAGGTAGTGCTCACTAAAGGGAGGTTCGATGCAACCACCAGGCATGATACGACTGATACTACCGGCACTATGAGCATGCAACTGTACACAAGGAGTCGGGAGATTTGATGCAACAACCAAGCATGATATTATTCGCTCAACTACCAACCGCATATGATGCTTTTCCATCTTTTCCTAAGGTCCTATGACTCCTCTCCCTGATAATATTACATTCGAACCCCCCCCACATCCCCCCCACACATACCCCTACAGGCCCAAACCTGCGCTTTCTGTGAAAGAGTCAAGCTCGACCCCCCACCTCCCCTCCAAACCCATGAGTTTCCTGTTGGAAAAATTCGACCCCCCCCGCTGTGATGGAGGCTACTACTGCTACAGCAAGACTAGACTTAGACTCAAGCCTACCTCCCCAAACTTTCGAGAAAAATGCCATCAGCATGAGGTGTCCATCTTCTCTCGCAGGCCGACCACGCAGCGGAAGATACAGCACAGTCGCCTTGCAAGAAACGGCCGCTGCTGGAAAGTGACTCCAGCGGCACAAAACACTTGAGGCCGATGCTCCAGCATTCTTGCTCACCTACCGCTAGAGCCACGGCTGACACGCAAGTCCACAGTCCGAGCATCAACCACAACGCCTGTCGTAGAAACGGAGGCAGCGCAGCATGCTCCTGCGCACCTGGTGCAAAAGCATTGTCTGAGAGATTGGCTCCCTGAGGCTGGGTGTGCGGCTCAGGTCATCCGGCGTGACATAGCCCAATCGGCCGCGGCAACGTACCTAAAGACTACAGCTTTGTACCATGCGTATCCTCAACACCCAACTGCCTCTCAAAGCAGATTGCAGTTCAGGCGACATCGAAGCGGAAGGAGAAGTCCCCAGAGAGCACCTCAAATTGTGCCCTTTACAGCATTTGGGCCCCTAAATTGCTATGATAGGGGTGTGGCGGTCGGCTGGTCGCTCACTGCGAAAACCGCTTTCCAACCTTTGAAAACAAGGCCAAAAGAATGTGACAAACATGTGAGATTGCACGGACCTACGCGCCCCGAGGCCAGAAGAAGTAACGTCCGCAAGTATTCCGTAGGGATCCGGCCAACACCCTTCTTTCCAATCTTACCACCCTGGAAGAAGGGCAACTGACATTCGAAGATGTTCGCAAAGCAACCAACGCAAAGCGCAAAGACTTTAGCGTGCCTGGGCCGGCTTTGTTGACCTGCAGAAGGAGAAGCAATTGAACGGAAGCGCAGCGAACTTCACGTCACCGCCAAGGAGCAAGTTTGCTGCATGACCCTGGCGCCTGTTGATGTCGCACAATGCCTCCACGTCCTTGTTCGTCATGCCCAACCTCAAGAAACCACCTGCTGAAATGCAGCCTACTGTGTGTCGCATAGGATTGCAGAAGGCATCTGTGCAGCCAAAACTCTCATTGTTGACGGACGCAAAGAATAGTGATGAGTCCTGCGGATAAGGCAATCTACCTGCGTCTTTCAAGTAGTGCGATCTCAGACTTTGGCATGCACCCTTTTAACCGGAATCCACAACACATCAGCACAGCTGATGCTTGTGAAACAGCCCGCGTGTATGTCAAAGCATACAGCCCCTTGCCGAAAAAGGTCAGGAGGAGCACCCTTGGTATGTGCGGCTGCACCAACCTGGAGATCAGCAGAGGCTCAGCAGAGATCATGTTCCAGATTCCAGATTCATGAGTGTCCACATCGATTCCTGCAACCCTTATCCTCTATTCAATTGCCCCGGCCTCCGTGAAGCAGACGAAGTTGCACATCGACGCATACTCACAACGTTCAACCTTTGTTGTACGACTGGTACCCATCCTGCACCATCACACCTGAGTGCTTCGAAATCTGCAGATCTGCTTGACCGGTTACCTGCATCGCTGGCTCTTCATCTAGCACCTCCATCGCCTTTGAAGAAGCTGGCGGATAAGTCCGTACAACCTTCCCCCAAAACTTCGAATCCCTTGTGAGCTCCCTGGCCCCTGGAAATCCGACTTTTCGCCACTTGTAGCCATAAGAATCTTTGCCCATTCCTGGGGCAAACACCACAGCCTCCAACCCTTAAAACCTGGCCATGCGAAGTCGGGTCACAGCAATCACTGCACCGACTGGGCAGTGATCACCCGTTGCCACAGAAGGCAAGTGGAAAACATCCCAGAGCATAGGCCCATCCTGGCACAGGTCTTCTCATAGCACACGACACACAGAAAAGCACTGATTATTGCAAGGCCTCTCTCTCCCCAGCCATGCCATCAGAAACCAACACATAATCCAGCCGAAGGCCTGGACAAGTTGAAGGGGCTCGCAACATTGACTGGACTGGCAAAGCTCATTGATGCCTCTGTTGGTCTTCCGATTGCCAGCACGGATGCTCCAGTAGGTAAAGGCACCTAGTGCCTTCCATCCATCCCAAGTTTTGGCATTTCAGCATGGCATGGAGACATCCCTCACACAGCCTCAGGGTGATGCAAGGCAAAGCCATCCTGACATGACACTGACGAAGAAGGCAAACAACTCTGACAGAATGAGGTGAAGCGGTCCTTGAAGCCGCTCTCCAGTAGCTTAGAAAAGGATTCACGTTCTTCAGGCGTTAGCCCAGCACTTTTTGGAACATGGGGTGCTTCCACGTTCCAAATATCTTTGTCTTGGTGGGCCACGTTGAGGTCTCCCATCAGTACCACACTCTTCTTCTGAGCAAGATCGCGCAATCGTTCACGCAGTTGAGGATCCCATTTCTCAATACGCTCGCTCAAACGTTTGAGCCCATCGCCAGAGTTCGGGACATAACATAGCACCACGAAAAGAGAATTGAACTCGCACACAACTAGCCGGCCCTCCGCAGCGGCAGAGGGCAAATCCTCAGCCGCAACACTCATCGGTTCGGGCACCTCTTTGTGAAGCATCACCAGCGTACCTGAGTAGCCTTTCTTGACAGTGGAGTAGTTCACACAAGCGAGCCTGTAGTCCGGGAGTGCCTTGGAGAGCTCCCCCAAAGCCCCCTCTGTGTCGGCCGTGCCCTCCTGGAGTTTGTGCCTGAAAGCAAAACATGTCTGCATTGACCTAGGCACTTTCGTAGGACTTCTGAAAATGTGCAGAACTTCTGAAGCTGAAGCAAGGCACTCAATGATCCCAAGCACGTGCGGTGCTCCCTGCTTCACCGCTTCCTGCAGGTCCGCTACCCGCGTCCTGAGAAAAGCCCTCAGGCTGCCAACGTTCCAGGCCAGGACATTGAAACCACTTTTGCCTCCCGGCAGATCTGCAGCTCCTGCAGCTCGCCGCTGCATCTGAGGCTCAGGAATAGAGCCCTGCTCTTTGAAGATTGTGTAAGGGCCTTCCCTTACTTTTTTGGCACGCTTCGGCTTCTCGGAAGGGACATCTGGTTGCTCCTCCTCAGCATCTTTCTTGATACGCTTCTTTGCTGGCCGCTTTGCAGGCGTGGTGATCCTGCCTCCCTTCTTCTCCTTAGGAACTGGAGTCGTTTCGCTGGGATCATCCAAGTCTTTGACCTCACCTTGCGAGTCACTCAACTTCCGGTCAAACTTTGGCGCCATGTTGGCACATCATCCTACATCTACACATCTACACTACACGCTGTGAGCACCGCAGGAGGCAAGCCAAGCTCCAGACACAAATGCACAGGCAGGTGCATTGACTGACATCGGTTCAAAGTTCAGCACATCCATGATTATTTTGCTCCAGTTAGAACAAATAATGCCAGTGCAACCCTCTGGCCCATCGCTGTGAGTACTAGCTGCACGCGTGACGATATCCAAGCAAGCAAAAGCAGCAACTTCCTCGGCAGAACCCAAGTGTAACGTCATGGACGGTTCAGCACCTGCGTCAATCTTCCAGTAGGCTATGCTAAGGAGGTTTGACATACATGTGAACACAGAAAGAAGCAGGCAGGTGGCTACGGCGGCTTGCCCATTCAAAACCCAAACAATAATCCATGGCATGGGTCCAAGAAACTTCTCAATACGAGCAAGATGCCTTGCTCATCGTAACGGTTGTCGTCGGCATTCTGGATGAGCTCCAACAGGAAATGTCCCTTGGAAGCATAGAGATCGATTGCCAGCCGCTCAACAGCTGCGCCGATGCTGCGCTGCATGGCGCTTGCGCTCTGCAGCACCTCTGCGGGAACAGAAGTGTAGTCAATGTCCAAGCCGCGTTGCTGTCGAATGTTTCGTAACAGCTCCGCAGGCGATCCTGATGATGATGCAGACTTGGGCAAGCTTTGTCCAACTCTGGCGTCGGTCTTGCCATCAGTGCTAGCTTGCATCTCCGCACGGACTTCGCGGGAGAAGCGCTGGGTTTGAAGTGCAACTTGCGCTGCTTGCGCTTGGGCACTGGCCTCCTCAGCGGCACGCTGAGCCTTTTGCAGTGCCACCTGTAGCTGGGCAATCTCTTTGGCATGCTGTCGCCGTCTTCTTTCTAGCACAGCTTCCAGTTCGGTCAGTCTGGCAACCGCTTCCTCTCGCTCACAGTCGGCCTGGGCGAGGTCACATTGTTCAAGCAGTGGGCGGAGAACTTTCAGCCTACGCTCGCGGAATCTCCAGCTCTCGTATGCACAGTGGGGCTCCCAGATTGGGTGCTTCCCTTTCTGGCTTGCACCATCCAAGCACGGTGCGGTAGCACGAACGATTTCGACTAATCGGGCAACAAAGGAAACGTCTGGGAACTGCTCATGAGCACGCTCCACCGCCCTTCTTAACAGCGGCGCTGCGGCCAGGGCCGGACGCTGCAGCAACAGCCGAGCCATAGCAAAGCTGAGGACCGGCACGATCACTCGGCCAAGACTTTTGTTGCTTGCCGCTGCTTCAAGTGGCAGAGCACTTTCTTGCGAAGGAGTTGTTTTTCCAACCCTCTCCGTCGCCCGCTGCGAAGGCGTTGTAAAAGCCATCATGAGGACAACTGGGGCAGCCTCTGTCAACTGGGAAGCAGCCTGCTCTATCCGATTAGTCACCTTCGGATTTGCGAACGGCATGATTTGAACGCAAAGATGCTGAAGGGGAACATAGCCGGCTTCTCCACCCGGACGAGTGGGATTGGCTCCTGCAAGCAGGCACTGCTGCACGATGCCAACCTCGATGTCTTCGTCTGGCAGAGGCAGTTTGGATATCTCTTTGAAGAGAAGATCCGTAGCAGCCTCTCAGGATATTACTCCAGATACTTCAGCAACAACAGCATGACCTCTGACCTCTTCCACAAGCTCTGTCACCGCTGCGTTGCCACTCGCCTGAGAGATTTGGCAAGTTGAACTACGATGCACCAAATGCACCACTGTTCCAATGACTTACTAGAAGCGCACCTGCGCTGCCGAAAAAAGAGTCTGCTGGGGTCCAACCTTCAAGCTTTGGCGGCTTTGGTGGAATGCGGCAGTCTGGCTGCAGGCGCACGATCTCACAGCTACTGGCACAAATCTGCGCAACAAGTCATCTCCCCTGCCAACCTGCGATTCTTGTCGGGCAGGAAGCAGAAGCATCTGACAGGTACAGTGGATACGCCACACCACTGAAACTATGATGACTCACTGGAGCATAGAGAGCCTGTCATTCTTAGATAGATTGCACCTTTGCTAGATGTCGCAAGTCTGGGTTGAAATCCCAAAGCCCTTGTCTCCTCCAGGAGCGCTTTCTTGCATGGAGGCCGTTTAGTCACATGAAAATGTCCGGGCTGCACGAAAGACCGAGGAGCAAGCCCTTGGTTCGTACTCTCGGAGCATGGACGCCAGCTTGTTGACATAGCCCGACTCGGCGCACGCTCAAGAGTTTAAGCCTCTTACAGTAATGCTGCAGTAGTGAACGTGGACTGCTGCCGGCCCCGGCCAAGCATTGCGAGTCAGAGTCAGGCGACTGGGCATTTACATCCGAGGGCAGACTTGGTCTTCAGCCTTGGCCACGTCAATCGCCAGCTTCCGTAGACTTGCCTTCGCAGAAAAAAGCAGCGCCTAAAGCCGGTCTGGAACTCTGGTAGATCAGTGGTTCAAGAGTGGCAGTCTACGTGCAGGCTTCACGCACGCCAGAGCTAAACGCACCAGAGCACCCGAAGCTGCACCAAATCGGAGTGCACCTGTCTGCCACGATCCCAGTAATTGAAATTTGGACCTGACTAACAGGTACTGGCCATGCTCACATCCAATTCTCATAGTCGGAAAGCAATGACACTGCACAGCTGAGTTGCAAGCCGTTTGCACAGGGATTGGACACCATGGAGTTGTTGAGCCCAGCCTGCATTCAACCATGCAGTGAAAGATCGATTCACACCCATTACCTTGCACAGTGGGCCTGTGCCAATACGTGTTACCCTGTGGCGAAGACTGTGGTTGCTTGCACACTTGCACACATGCCAAGAAGTATGTCCCCACGCCTGTGCTGTGGCAAAAATAGGTCTTGCAGAATCCAAAAATAGATGGCTGGCACAGTGACCCCTCCCTGAAAGACCTGTGCGAAGCAAGGGAATCTAAAAGCATGGCATGGCTTGCCAGCATCTGTTGCAGCCGGGATCCTGCTGCCGGATAATGCAGTAGATGGCACATCAAATGGCAAATGACGTCTTGGCTAAGTTCAGAAGGACTCTGCAGTTGCTTGAGAGGCCTGCTCACACACACCTGCAGTAACGAACCCCGGCCGTGGAGCTAACCCACACATAGAGCCCTTTGATACTTCATGACACCCTGCTGCATCTCCATGGAGATCCAGGCAACTGGAGGCCTCAAGAACTGGCCAATCGTCCTCCTCATCGTCCTCCTCCTCCTCTTCGGACTCATCGTCTTCGTCCTCCTCACTTACACGGCTTTACTTTGTCAGCCTAGGCAACCGCAAGCAACCGCAAGCAACTGCAAACAGCTGCACAACCAGAGGCTTCCTCCTTTGGTTGGTATTCGTCTTCTGAGCTTGCAATGTCCATGACCTCAGGACGACTGCTGGTGACAGTTGTTCGATTGGTTGACATGACGAGCGGATATTGAATGAGTGCTCGGCTATAGATTCGGCACTAGCTCCAGAGCCAGGATCTCCAGACTAACACCATCTTCAATTTTTGGCAGACTTTCAGAATTTCTTCCACAACTGAACACTCGTTCAGGACTCCTGCGATAACAGGTACCAGAAATTTGTCTTGTTGCTGTCATGCCAATGGAGCTTGCGTTGCAGGAGAGCCGGACCCTGGTGCAAAAAACATGGAGGTTGTGGACAACATGTTTTTTTGGTGCTGAAAGCTGGAAGCTGCTCTTTTGACTTCAAGAAATCTCCACATTGGCAGCTTCAATCCCATGCGTAATGCTGGGATTGGTTCGTGGCCAAAGTAGGGTGAGCTGACCTCAGTGCTAGCTCCTCCTGCTCTGGGTTCGAAGTGGACTGGGAATGACTTTGCATGCCAGCAGCTTGTTTCCATAGACCCGTCCAGTGCGACAAAAGTCAGGGTTTGATAGCTTATCAATGCTCAAGCCTTCCCCTTCGTCACTTGCATTAGCCAGCAAGCCACGCCGCCCATTCAGCAGCTCAAATGGCAGGCACCTGCCAGCGGGCGAGGCAAAGACTAGCAGGACATGTAGATGCCTACTGCTTGCTGTCACAAAACAATACCAAAACATGCTGAGCTGGATTTCACAGCTAAGACAGCAAGCCGTAATGCTGCGGCTGCGAACTCTCCACTTGCACCTGAAGTGAAGCGGTTTCGGCAAAGCGAACTCGTAGTGGCCGGTGAAACGACGCCTCGTGCCGTCAACCAACCAAAGTCTTTCTGTGCTCTGCCACTTGCATTCAATGCATGGCCGAATATGGCTGCCTATGACCTCTCAAGTAGCAAAAGATCTTTTGCCCGCGCCTGCGGGTCCACCTGGGCTTCCCTCTGCTCTGGCGGGAACTCGTGAGACAAGTCGATCTCTGCAGACCTTTATCTCATCTTTTCAACGAATCTCGCAAGCTACATCATGAAACGATGAAATGCAACCAAAGTTCTGATAAAGAATGATAATTCAAGCAGCATCGAAACAGTTGCAAGCCCACGACACATGCAAACAAATTGCACGGAAAAGCGTGCCAAAAACCTCCTTAGCTTTGATCAAGTTTCTAGTGACCGCCTCAGCAGTTGCAATCTGATTCGGTGCCAACAGCATGATCTAGCCATGCCAATTCGAAATATTTTATTTCCGCTGGCATTGAGCTTGTAGTTCTCTGAATTCCTACCGCCATCCATACAAGCAGCCTTTCATAAAAACCTTGGCAGGAACTTGAGCCTTTCAAAATCATGTTGACTCCAAGCATTTTTAACTTCTTCTATGGCCGCTTGCTTGTCAAACTAATTGTGGCCTCTATACAATTCGAGGCGGTCCTTGACATGTCCAAGAGCCTACGCCTGCCTGCCTCAGAACTTCATGAACAGCTGTAGACAATACGGCTTGGGCCCCACACAGGTCGTACTCTGGTACTCCACACTCTGCACCCTGCATGATGAGGTTCAAAGCATTTAACTGCAGGAAAGAAGAAAGCTGATGTGCCTTCAAAAGTTCGGTGTAGAAGCCTGCTTATCATGAATGGAAGGCAGCACACGGTTGAGCAGATATGCATCGAAGCCTGCTACAGCTCCCAGCAGGCTTTGCTTCTCATGTGTCTCCTGCTCTAATGCCGGAATTCCGAATTGAGGGTTACTCCATATTCAGTGCGAAATTCCTTGGGAGCGGGGCCGCCAGCTGGGGCCCAAAGAGAAAGCCTGCAGCCCAAACACAGATTGCATACGTGCCGGAAACTGTGTTCATAATCACAGTTCTGCCCATCGATCAAACCAAACAATAGCAGCTAGCTGCCTTCGCGGAACTTGGAGAAGGACCGCCCATCCTCCAAAAACAAAGAAAGGTCCAGCGAAGACATCCACCAAAATTTCTTGTGATTTTCTTATAACATGTGTCAGATGCAGCTCAATAAGTTCACTGCCTCCTGTTGAAGACGGGGCCTGATATCAGAACGGAAAATCGCTGCAAAATGTCCAAACCATGTCCATCTGCGATCCCAGCGCTAGAAAAGGATGCTCGGCATGACAGAGGCGAAGTGAAGGGTGAGCATGTCGGAAAGGCCCTGCCAAAGAGACCGCTCACAAAGTGCAACTTCTGTACGACGATATCCAGTAACAGAGAGATTTTTAAAGCGTCGCTGCTGAGTGAAGACCGTCTTTCTGTCTCCGTTGGTCGGCTATTTGCCACCGAAGCGGGGCAGGTCTTTGCTTGGGACGCAGGTCTCCTGCTGTCCCACGAAACCATTAACACAGGTCCACAGGCTTTAGGTTCAAGCTTGGACCCCCTAGACGCATGAATGCTGCTTACCGCGGGATGTCAGAGATCCGAAACTTTGTCTGTCTGAACCTCAGATGTGTGCTGCGAGAATCCATGCCCAGCTTCACAGGAAAGGGGTACAACTGCTGCAGAGCATGAATATACGCCTTCCCAGCTGGTACAGCATCTATGGCTGCAAGCACAACGTCCTGCACAAGCTACTTGCAAATCGAAACAATTTGTAAAGGAAAAAAGCAACACCCGCTCTGACAGGCCTTCACGATCTCGAGATTCTCGCCAGCATCCCATGCCTACCAATATGCAGAGATCTGTGAAATAAACTTGCTAGCTTAAGCCATGCCCGTTCCTGAAGCTTGCGCGCGGGCCTGAGACAAGAGCCATGGCCGTATCCAGAAAGGAAATGCACTGCAACCATGCCGAGATTGCTGGATCTTGCCACTGACAAAGGCAGCCACCTGACAAGTCGATACCGTTCCTACTTTAGGAAAATGCCACTAACAATCCCATAACCAGCTGCGATCTTGCTGTTTGCAAGGAGCCTGCCCACGAGGCAACGGCACTGATGTTGAATCCTGGACAAACCCAGCGCAATGTTGGTCTAAGACTACGGCGAAAACACGACTTGGCTTCCAGACCCGCGTCAGGGCGACGAACAGAGGTCGTGCCCTCTGGCGCAGCTGCTGCTGCTTCTTCCCTGCTTTCCTTGGGTCAAGGAAAGCCAACCTTTCTTTCTTTAGAGCTCGCAGTGCCGATGAGGTCCAAGCTTTGAAGCAGTCATCTTCTGGCTAATAGGAACTTGTGCGGGGACCTCCCACATTTTGATCTGAAGCATTTTCCTGCAAACTGCAGTTCAAGTTTCACTGAAGCTGTAAGTTGGAGGGAAGGCCTTACCCTGCAAAAGCAATTGTTGAGCAACGGCCTTGAATCTGGCACGCATGAAATTCATGGGAGCATCAACTTTGCCAAGGCCATGAGCGCCTGACTCTGAAGGCTTCGACGGAAGGCCGTGAAGCACCCCCCTCTTTTGCCAAGTTTGCCACTACCAGGACCTGCGCGACAGAGTCCAAAGAAGAAACGCACCAGCTATCTTTTATGCTGCTTTGTGGTTGAGACGCCTCATGCTTGTTAGCCAGAGGCTCCAGCTGGTCCAGTCTTGACATCTCCATGGAAATCTGTAAGGCTTCTCCCAACTGCCAGGGCAGCAAAAATGTGCAAGGCTTGTTTGAATTCGTAATTTGCATGATGCACAGGGGTCTCATCACTGGATCTCGTCAGCCTCATCGGGCACCAGTTGCTGCTTCAAGTGCCACAGCATGGTACCCTGATTGTGCAACACTGTCAAGGACAAATGCTTCGTATCAATCTGATCTGGAGCAATTCTTCTGTCAAGCATGCATGGCCTTGTCACCGGGTTTGGCCAACAGTTTCTGGATCCACTCCTTCTTGGAAGGCACAGGTTCACCAGCCTCAAGTAGCATCAGCAAAAATGACACGATCATGGCAAGGAACGTCTCAGCATCACACTTGTACAGCGATGTGTGCAGGAGCAGTCTTGGGATCTATGTACTTTTCCGCATACGGCCTGTCCTGATGACACATGAAAAAGCAACTGCAACAAGGCTTTGGCTACTTCATGCATCATGCCTCCAGCATGTCTACAATACCACAGGTAACCTTTCACCATAAGCGAAAGGGGAACTGATGAGACACAGGTCTTGTGAAGGTGCCTACCTTGGACCAGCGAAGGTCCTTGCACACCTCCCAGAGCTGCCAAGCTTAGATGGCAGCACAAAGATAGCATCACTTGTGCCACGAAGTACCTCGTGGAATCCGGCGACAATGGCGCCCTGCCGGAATCCAACGCACAATCACTCCATGCTGCGGTCTCGAAGGAGCCAGCCTTGTATGCGTGGTGCGACACCAGGTTTCTCTCGTAGAACAAGAGGAACACCAAATTGTTGTCCTCAACAAGTGCTGCGCACAGTGTCTGGGAGTTTGCGTCCTCCCTGGAACACCTGGCTTTACAAAAGGGAAGATGATGCTGGAGATTAGTGACCCTGCGCTGAGATTGAGGCTCTGTACAGGTCCTCAAGAGAGGAGCACTCGTCACACTCCTGGCCTGGACACTTTCAAATGCCTTCAGATTGCAGAATCCTGGTGTAGGAGCGGCACGAGTAACTCGGACGATGTTGGTCTTCCGTGCCTGCATACACTTTGCTTGCAGACAGATCTTCTGCTGGTTCCTTATGGCCACGACCGGCCTCCCAAGGCACATCCAGTACGCTGCGAGCATCAACATGCAGATGCAGTGTTGACCTGGGCGACTGTCACAAACCTCATTCTACCGACTCTACCTGCAAAAGGAGAGGCCCCGGACAGCAGCACTAGCAACATGCACGCCATGGCATGTGGCCAGGAAGCCCGGCTTCGTCTTGTGACTTCTGCTTGGGTACGTACAAGAAAGCGGCCTTCCTAGCCAGCCCCTGAACAAGTGACTTATCACAAGTGCTCTATAACATGTCTTCAAGTGACCTTGGCAAATTCCCACGGTGGAAAGCATCAATGCAAACACCCATGACTCATTGTTCTCGATGGGTGATGCCAGCAGGCATTGCACAGACACGTCTGTTCAATGAAATCTACAGCTCCGTAACAAGCATGCCGAGCACACTTCCTGGCCGTAGGCGACGGTTGCATCCCTGTCACCCTGCATAGGGTATGCGGAGGAACTTGATTGTTGCATCATCGCTTTAAGTGCAGTCTTGATGCAACCTATCAACCGAGACCCCGACAACTCGGGACCCATATAATCCTGGCAAAGAAGCTTGGGAGGCTCCCACTTGTAAACAGGGATTACATTAGCGTCCTGGGGCTAAAAACAAGGAAACGCTGAGTGAACTAAAGGCGGCCTTCTTCTGCATCAGCAATGGATGCCGTGTAGAATGCCAGCGCCGAGACATTGAATTGACCTGACTGAGGGCACGGCAGCCAGAAAACAACGATCCGAAATCGAGCAATAAATCCTTGCTGAATCACTGCTGCAAAATATGCTCTGCACGCAATAAGTTCCTCTGTGCAACTGCGATTGCATAGCCTGGTTGGACCGCTCGTTGGGAACGTCAAAAGGCCAATCTGTTTCCTGCAAGGAGAAAACTGCAGAATCCTTGCCAGCTGGGCATTCATGTTTAACCGCAACAAAAACCCTCCTTCTCCCTTTCCATAAGCCTGCCAAATCCATGAAGCCTGAAGGACTGTTGGGTGTGTCGCCAAGCAAACTTTCAACTTTTGGGGCGGAAGTCGAATTTTGCCAAAATTTCGAGGTTACCTTCAACCAAATCAAGGAGAAAACCGTTGATGAACTTAAACTCCATTTGGGCTTCTTTGATTTTTTAAAGGAGATGAATACCATGCAACAACAATCTGTCTGTCCAGCCAGAGGGAATCTTAGCTTTCTTGGCGGGGACGTGTTTTTTTGTTGACGCAAAATCTGAAACACAAGGAAACCTTCAAACCTGCGCCAAGTGCAAGCTTCCTCACCTGGCAGTGGGATCCACTTCCACACATTGCTCAACTTGACCTGGCACACACAAACATTCCCCAGCAAAAGCCCACCATCTCCCCCCAATCACCATCCGCCGCAGCCGGCACGCCTGCAGCATGTTGATATAAAGGAAGAAAACAAATTCATGTGTCCTTGGACATTGTCGGCTTTACCACGCACAGGTGTCGCAAACAGCGGCACGAACCAATTAAACCGGGTAAACTTGAACTCACCGAATATAGTTACCTGAAATGTAAACAAGGCGGCTTAAGGCTTAAGGATCATGACTTGAGACCAAAGGACTAGAACGAAAGCAAATACGGTTTTGCATGTCAATCGGTTCGGCGGATAAAGCCCTCCTTGCCGCACAACCCCTGCAATGTAGCCGAAAACAACCACGCCGGGGGACCCCTTGACCGGAGGTCATCCCACACCCTTTTGAAAGCTACCGTTTGATGAAAAACTTTTTTGGCCCCCTATTTTGCGATTGGAACATTAAAAATAGCCACCTTCAATTTACAACGTGACATATGTTTTGGAATCTGCAAACAAAAGTCGCTCAAAGCTTGCGAAAACCCTGCCCGTTTGGCGAGGTGGCCCGTGCTAGCAATTAAACTGCCCTGACGCTAGCAAACTCACATACCTAGCATCAGCTTACGTGGCTGCACACGCCATAGGCCAACAAGCAACCTATGCTTGGGCCTACACACACCAATGCCAAAAACATATCGCCCATGGTAGCTAGCATATTCAACCATGCATGAAACGGACCATGATGCGCATGCTCTCCTGCGAAACCAGGGGTGGAATTTCTGGCCGTTCCCGGGGAACCTGTGCAAAACCAGCAAATGAGATTGCCAAAGATGGCTCATAACGGAGTGCATTCGTTTGTTCTGCAGGCTCTGAGACCACAGCTTGGGCATTGGCACAAGCCATGTTCATGTCTAGAGCACAGCACTACGTTGCGCATGCAATCAAGATCCCTCTCTGCATCACATGTGAATGCTTTGCACGCATACCAAATAAATGTCAAATCCATGTCTGAAATAGACAGCCAAATTTGGAAACACATGCTTTCGAAAGCACCATGATCGAAATGATTTCTGTTGTGATGCATCACTGCAAGCCAAAAATTCTAACGAATCGTTCCCACGCAACTGCATCCGTAAGGAAGCCAACCGTCACTTGGTACTTTGAGGTGATGCCCTTTGCTGGCCATGGTTTATGCTTCCGTGTGCAGCTTGTGTGAACAAGTCGCTGCGGATGAAGCATGCCACTGCCACATGGGTTCTTGGAGAGACGGCGCTGGAATTGCAAATTGAACTTGTTTCAAAACACATGAACGAATCTCACAATGCTGTAGTGATCTGAAGACCAGATCCCTTCCTCAAGGATTTGCTTGCTTTTGATTGCAGTGCGCTTGTCATGCTATAGTAATAGTTTGCGTCACTTCCTGCGTTGTTCACATATTTCCCCGTTCCCATGTCGTCCTATGGCTCAGATCTGATATGAAAGTGTCGCCATGTCTGACACTCACAATCATAGTGATCATCATGAGCCCTATCAGTCGGCGCTGTCAAGCCCAGCTCTGCAAGGAGTTAGGGCAGGAACATTATACCGGGGCGGTAGCGCGGATAGGTAAGGAGAGAGGCTGACACCAAGGACAGGCGCCGACCCAACAGGGAAGAAGGGGAGATCATATCCTCTCGCACTTCACTGAAAAGCAAGGCCGAATTGCCTCTCCAAAAATGTTGGTTTTCAACAAATTCGTTCCTTTTTTTCGCTAGCGCACTCTCGCACCGCTCAACATCTAAATTTGTTCCATTCCAGAAATAAATATTCATCATCAAGAATATTATCCAGAAAAACTTGTTAAGTGTTAGTCAAAGAGCCACTAGGACGCACACACACTCTTTTTGCAGTCAGGGGCAAATCGACGCATGTTTTGTGGCAACGTGATTTTGCCAGGTGCATACGGGATGAGAATGACACTGAGTCAGGTTTTCTCATGATTTCCCGCGACACCCCCCTTGGGTTCCACATTGGGATGGGTGGGTGGGACAAAATGAAATTTCGGTCAATTGATAATAAACGAGCACGCACAAACAATTTCAACATGTCACATCAAATCAAGCATGGACATGAAATCAGGCGTGTTCACAGCAACGAAGTTTGTGAAACAGAAAATGGAACCAAGCTTTTTGTTGAAAACATCGCACAAAAGGTGCTGCATCACTTTTAGGAGAGGGCCTTGTCAACAAGTTGAAAGTTTCCTCTCCAAAAGTGTTGGTTTTCAACAAATTTGTTCCATTCAACAAATAAATATTCATCATCAAGAATATTATCCAGAAAAACTTGTTAAGTGTTAGTCAAAGAGCCACTAGGACGCACACACACTCTTTTTGCAGTCAGGGGCAAATCGACGCATGTTCTGTGGCAACGTGATTTTGCCAGGTGCATACGGGATGAGAATGACACTGAGTCAGGTTTTCTCATGATTTCCCGCGACACCCCCCTTTGGGTTCCACATTGGGATGGGTGGATGGGACAAAATGAAATTTCGGTCAATTGATAATAAACGAGCACGCACAAACAATTTCAACATGTCACATCAAATCAAGCATGGACATGAAATCAGGCGTGTTCACAGCGACGAAGTTTGTGAAACAGAAAATGGAACCAAGCTTTTTGTTGAAAACATCGCACAAAAGGTGCTGCATCACTTTTAGGAGAGGGCCTTGTCAACAAGTTGAAAGTTTCCTCTCCAAAAGTGTTGGTTTTCAACAAATTTGTTCCATTCAACAAATAAATATTCATCATCAAGAATATTATCCAAAAAAACTTGTTAAGTGTTAGTCAAAGAGCCACTAGGATTCACACACACTCTTCTTGCAGTCAGGGGCAAATCGACGCATGTTCTGTGGCAACGTGATTTTGCCAGGTGCATACGGGATGAGAATGACACTGAGTCAGGTTTTCTCACGATTTGCCGCGACACCCCCTTCAACGTAATCATGGAAAAGCGCCTTGATCTCTGGCGGCCCACGAAAGATACCATGCGTCTTGCTCTTGTGATGGTCAGCGCCAGCCTTGGATGAGGAGGCCAAGGTCGAATCAGAGCCTCCATCGAAGGAGACGAGGACCGTCCTTTTAGGAGGCTAGAACGAGTGGCCTCGTCCGGTGGGCCAGATGCGGGGTCAGCAAGCTTCTTGCAGTGATGACCGCAGAGAGTTCGGCTTGGCTGATGAGATCTTCGACCCACCCATGGAAGCAACCTCTGGGTCAGACGACCTGGAATTGTCTCTCCAAAGTTTGGTTGACTTGAAACCAAGGAGGTGCAGTTTCCGACTTTCTTATTGAACAGCAAAACACGTAAAAACAGCTTTCTGGTCCTTCCAAAAGGTTTCAAACGACAGCATAGCAAAACAGTCTCTTCTTACTAGCTAAAGACTTGCAAACCAATTCGCTACAGCGAAACGTAGTGGCGGTCTCACGCTTGGGCACTGAAGTTTCAACTTAGAGACTTTTTAAGAAGCTTGCTTATCATCAAAGCTCAAAAGATGCCAAGCAAAACAAGTCATGCTCACACAAAACATGCAAAAACATGTCTATGCCACATGTGTGTGTGTGTCTGTTCCACACTTGTTGCCACGCGAGCGAAACAAGACAAAAATTCTACGTCAGCAGTAGCCTTCAGGCCTCTTAACACACGGTTCCAAAGCATCACTGCAAGCTGCAGCAAACCGGCTTCTTGAAAACACCGTTTCCTTCAACT